GGAGTGCAGGTATTGAAAGTCCCATCATCCATGGTACATCCTCCTCCAAACCGCAGCAGGATGTAGAGTGCGCCATGGAGACTCAGTGTGCCAAGTTTGATCTTTATCGGTAATTGGATGAGGGTTGCAGTGGTCTCAAGAATTGAGCAAAGGTACTGCAAGTCCCATAATCCATGGTCCATCCCCAGCCAAACCACACCAGGATGTAAAGTGGGTCATGAGAGGTCTATGTGCCAAGTTTGGTCCTGATCAGTCATTGGATGAGGTTAACAGCGGTCTCAGAATGTGAGTGATGGTACTGCAAGTCCCATCATCCATGGTTCATCCTCCTCCAAACTGCAGTAGGATGTAGAGTGGGTCATGGGGGCTCTGTGTGCCAAGTCTGGTCTGTATTGGTAATTGTCTGACTCAGCCCCCTCTGGCCTTTTCCTTTCCTCTCTTTGTCATCTCGGAATCTTGGAATTGAGGCTGGCCAATCAGAGACCATATGCAAATTTCCTTCTCATGTCCCCGTTTCTGCCATGAACTCTTTTCTCCACCAGGGGCTCCTATTGAAGCTGGCCAATCAGAGACCATATGCAAATAGCACCACTGCAGCAGCCAATCAAAACGCTGGCACATACTCCTCCCGCCACACTTTTGTCCTCCGCATACAAGTTTTGACTTTTATTATATACATAGACTAGCCATCCCCTGCCATGCCTTGCTGTGGCCCACTCTGGTGGTCATGGGGGTTCTGCGTGGGAGGTTTGGCCCAATTCTATTGTTGGTGGTGTTCAGAATGCTTTGTGATTGTAGGTGAACTATAAATCCCAGCAACTACGACTCCCAAATGTCAAGATTCTATTATCCCCAAACTCCACCAGTTTTCACATTTGGGCATATTGAGTATTCGTGTAGAGTTTGGTCCAGATCCATCATTGTTTGAGTCTACAACTCCAAAGCTAAAGGACACTGCCCACCAACCCCTTCCAGTATTTTCTGTTGGTCATGGGAGAACTGTGTGCCAAGTTTGGTTCAATTCCATCGTTGATGGGGTTCAGAATGCTCTTTGATTGTAGGTGAACTATAAATCCCAGCAACTACAACTCCCAAATGACAAAATCAATTTTTTGAGTGAGGGACATACATTGGGTTTTTAGGTGGTTCGTCCTAAAAATGAACCACCTATATAGGAATATAGATATAGAAATGTATATATAGATATATAGATATATAGATTAGATATAGATATAAATATAGGTATATATATAGATAGATAGATATAGATAATATTGTTCTTTAATATGTATAATAATAAGATAATATTTGTATCCAGCATTTGGTCTCTCATATATGTAAATATTATATTTATTTATTTATTTATAATTCGAACTTATATGCCGCCACTCCCCTGGGGCTCGGAGCGGCTTACAAGAACAGGCTAAAATCGAACACAATTTAAAAACAATTTAAAAACAACAATTTCAAAGATCAAAGGCCTGTCGAAACAGGTATGTCTTACATGCCCTGTGGAAAGCTGATAAGTCCCGCAAGGCACGGACTTCAGGTGGCAGAGTATTCCAGAGTGATGGTGCCACTGCTGTAAAGGCTCTGCGTGTGGTTGCTGTTAGACGCATTTTTTTCAGAAAAAATGAAATGCAAAGATACAAAATGAAATGCAAAGACGCCTGGCTCGAGAGCAGTACGTGTGAAAAAGATCTTGGAGTCCTCGTGGACAACAAGTTAAACATGAGCCAACAATGTGATGTGGCGGCAAAAAAGCCAATGGGATTTTGGCCTGCATCAATAGGAGCATAGTGTCTAGATCTAAGGAAGTAATGCTACCCCTCTATTCTGCTTTGGTTAGACCACATCTGGAATATTGTGTCCAATTCTGGGCACCACAATTCAAGAAAGATATTGACAGGCTGGAATGTGTCCAGAGGAGGGCGACTAAAATGATCAAGGGTCTGGAGAACAAGCCCTATGAGGAGCGGCTTAGGGAACTGGGCATGTTTAGCCTGAAGAAGAGAAGGCTGAGAGGAGATATGATAGCCATGTATAAATATGTGAGAGGAAGCCACAGGGAGGAGGGAGCAAGCTTGTTTTCTGCTTCCTTGGAGACTATGACGCGGAACAATGGCTTCAAACTACAAGAGAGGAGATTCCATCTGAACATTAGGAAGAACTTCCTGACTGTGAGAGCCGTTCAGCAGTGGAACTCTCTGCCCCGGAGTGTGGTGGAGGCTCCTTCTTTGGAAGCTTTTAAACAGAGGCTGGATGGCCATCTGTCAGGGGTGATTTGAATGCAATATTCCTGCTTCTTGGCAGGGGGTTGGACTGGATGGCCCATGAGGTCTCTTCCAACTCTTTGATTCTATGATTCTATGATTCTATGACACTGGGAATTTCCAACAAATCTTGGTCTTCAGAACGGAGGGATCTCTGGGGTTGGTAGAGGGTGAGGCGGTCCCTCAGGTACATCGGCCCCAGACCATGCAAGGCCTTAAAGGTGAGTACCATCACTTTGAAAGTGATCCGGTGCTCAATTGGTAACCAATGCAGCTGTAGTAAGATTGGGGTTATGTGGCATCTCATCGGAATTCCCGCAAGAAGCCGAGCAGCTGCATTTTGTACCAACTTGAGCTTCCGGATCACCGACAGAGGAAGGCCAATGTAGAGGGCGTTACAGTAGTCCAGTCTTGAGATGACCGTAACCTGGATCACCGTAGCTAGGTCGTCCCTGGACAGGTAGGGGGCCAGCCGTCTAGCTTGCCGCAGATGAAAGAAGGCGGTTCTGCTAACGGCGGAGACCTGGGCCTCCATCGTCAGCAGAGGGTCCAAAAGGACTCCCAGACTCTTTACCAATGATGACGGGCGTAGCGCCTCGCCATCCAGGGTAGGCAGCTGGATATCCCCACTGCCCGGTCGACCCAGCCATAGGATCTCCGTCTTTGCTGGATTCACCCTCAACCTGCTGGCACGCAGCCATCCAGTAATGGCCTCGAGGCACTGATGGAAACAATCGGGTACAGAGTCCGGTCGGCCTTCCATCTTCAGCACCAGCTGAGTGTCATCAGCGTACTGATAACACTCAAGCCCAAAACCTCGAACCAGCTGAGCAAGTGGTCGCATATAGATGTTAAACAACAGAGGGGAGAGAATGGCCCCCTGAGGAACCCCACAAGATAGAGGGGACCTCTCAGAGACCAGGCCTCCCCTCTCCACTCGCTTTCCACGGTTGTGAAGAAAGGAGGATAGCCAGTTTAAAGCTGTCCCCCTGACTCCAGGAACATCAAGGCGGTGGGTCAAAAGATTGTGGTTCGACTGTGTCAAATGCTGCTGTGAGATCCAATAACACAAGCAGCACCGACCCGCCCTGGTCAAGCTGGCATCGAAGGTGATCCGTGATGGAGACCAGCACAGTCTCTGTCCCGTGCCCCGCACGGAAGCCGGACTGGAAGGGATCTAGTCCGGCTGTGTCGTCTAGGAATTGCTGCAACTCCTCCGTTGCTGCCCTCTCAATCACCTTGCCCAGGAACGAGAGATTCGAAACTGGGCAGTAACTGGAGGGAACCAAACAATCTAAATCTGATACACTCTCTCTCTCTCTCTCTCTCTCTCTCTCTCTCTCTCTCTCTATATATATATATATATATATATATAATCCCAATTTTGGTCTCAAAACCTTTATAATTATATTATTATATAATAATATAATATGATATGATAATTTTATTCATATAATAGAATTCAATGTATATATTTATATAGATAGAGGGATAAAAAATAAAAATATGAGTGTGTATCATAAGATTTTTAGTATTAGCTGCTTTGTAGACAGAAAAAGTAGGGTATACATAAACATAATCATCATTATTATTATTTGAAGCACAATAAGATGAGTACACAGCAAACCAGACACTCTGCTGCCTGTTGTACTGGATCCCACGTCGGACCCTTCCCAAGTGTCTAGGACCATGTGATGTATTGTCAAAGAATGCATGCAGATCCAAGTAGGATGGCCTTTAGCAGCTGACAGGTGGTGATTTTGTCAACACCAATTTATGTTTAAGTATAGGCCAAGGTCTTCAGGGACTGCACCGAGTGTGCCGATCATCACTGGGACCACCTTTACTGACTTGTGCCAGATGTTTGCAGTTCGAACTCTAAATCCTCGTATCGTGTCAGCTTTTCCAGTTGTTTCTCTTCAATCCTGCTGTCACATAGGATTGCAACATTGACGATCCATACTTTGTTTTTTAACACAATGGTGAGGTTAGGAATATTGTGCTCCAAAACTCTGTCTGTCTGAATTTGGAAGTCTCAGACTAGTTTGACGTGTTCATTTTGTGTGACTTTTTCTGGCTTGTGATCCCACCAGTTGTTTGTTGCAGGCAGATGGTGTTTGTGGCACAAGTTCCAATGAATCATCTGAGCAATGGTGATAGTAAAGAACTGGTAAAGGGATCATAAACCTGGAAAGGGAGTGGAAAATGAACACGCGGAAATACTGTGGGACTTTTGAATCTAGACTGACAAAGTTCTGGAACACAATACACCAGACATCACGATTGTGGAAAAGAAAAATAGATTATTGATGTCGCCATACCAGGTGACAGTCGAATTGACGAAAAACAACAGGAAAAACTCAGCCATTATCAAGACCTCAAAATTGAACTGCAAAGGCTCTGATATAAACCTGTACAGGTGGTCCCAGTGGTTATCGGCACACTGGGTGCCGTGCCAAAAGATCTCAGCCAGCATTTGGAAACAATAAACATTGACAAAATCACTATCTGTCAACTGCAACAGGCCACCTTACTTGGATCTGCGCACATCATTCGGAAATACATCACACAGCCCTAAACGCTTGGGAAGTGTTCGACTTGTGATTTTTTGATATGAAATCCAGCATATAGATCTTGTTTGCTGTGTCACATTGTGTTTTTATGTCAGTAAAATAATAATAATAATAATAATAATAATAATAATATGCTTGTTATGATTCCGTGCAGGTCGAATCGCGACTGTCAGATCGACCAGCACCACCGCAACCAATGCCAATATTGCCGCCTGAAGAAGTGCTTCCGTGTCGGGATGAGGAAGGAAGGTGTGTTTCCTTGTTCGTTCCCTGTAAAGGGGCCTTGAACCTTAGAGACAAGCAGTTGCTTCTTCTTTTTCCCTGAATTGTCAAGTTTAATTTAATATTTTATTAGTAATACTAATATAATATATTTATATGTATATTATTACTAATAAAATATAATTATATTTTATTAATATTATTAACATTATTATATTATTTCTTTATTTTATTATATTTTATATTATTGATTATATTTATTCATTTATAATGTATTTTATATTATATTTTTATTATTTTGTATTCATATATATTTTCTTGTATTCCACTTTTTATTGTATAATATCAATTTATTTTATATATTTTGTTGTCTTTTATTTTTTGTTTTGTAGTATTCTTTTACTATGTTATGTTATGGTTTTAGTGGAGGCGCATCAGGTGATCCCTCCTGGCAGATGACAATCCTCTCTCTATCTCTGTCCGTCCCTGCAGCCGTCCAGCGGGGACGCATCCCTCCATCGCATGCATCCAGCCCCAACTCCAGTGCCAACAACTCCTCCTTGGTGCCCGTTGGTGGCATTGGCTCTGAGTTCCTCAATGGCCACCCAGTTCCAGAGCTGATCTCGCAGCTGCTGCGGGCGGAACCCTACCCGGCCTCGCGCCTGGGCTCACAGCTGGCACACAACACTTCTTCTGGTGGCGAAGGTGGCGGGATGATGGGCATCGACAACATCTGTGAGCTGGCGGCGCGGCTGCTGTTCAGTGCAGTGGAGTGGTGCCGCGGGGTGCCGGCCTTCCCGTCGCTGCCGGCCGGGGACCAGGTGGCGCTGCTGCGGCTGAGCTGGAGCGAGCTCTTTGTGCTGAACGCGGCCCAGTCGGCCCTCCCGCTGCACCTGGCCCCACTCCTGGCTGCCGCTGGGCTCCACGCTGCCCCCCCACTGCCTGCCCCCCGTGTGGTGGCTTTCATGGACCAAGTGCGCCTCTTCCAGGAGCAGGTGCATAAGCTCCACGCCCTCCAGGTCGACGCTGCTGAGTACAGTGCACTCAAGGCCATTGCCCTCTTCTCACCAGGTCAGCCATTATTATTATTATTATTATTATTATTATTATTATTATTATTATTTCACGCACTCAAGGCAATCGCTCTCTTCTCACCAGGTCAGCCATTATTATTATTATTATTATTATTATTATTATTATTATTATTATTATCTCACGCACTCAAGGCCATTGCCCTCTTCTCACCAGGTCAGCCATTATTATTATTATTATTATTATTATTATTATTACTATTATTATTATTTCACGCACTCAAGGCAATCGCTTTCTTCTCACCAGGTCAGCACTATTATAATATTATAATATTATTATTCGTATTTCACGCACTCAAAGCCATCACACTCTTCTCCCCAGGTCAGACAGTAAGCCATTATATTATTATTATTATTATTATTATTATTATTATTATTATTACTGCTCAAGGCAATCACTCTCTTCTCACCAGGTCAGCAGTATTATAATATTATAATATTATTATTCGTATTTCACGCACTCAAAGCCATCACACTCTTCTCCCCAGGTCAGACAGTGAGCCATTATTATTATTATTATTATTATTATTATTATTATTATTATTATTATTACTCAAGGCAATCACTCTCTTCTCACCAGGTCAGCAGTATTATAATAATATTATATTATTATTCGTATTTCACGCACTCAAAGCCATCACACTCTTCTCCCCAGGTCAGACAGTGAGCCATTATATTATTATTATTATTATTATTATTACTCAAGGCAATCACTCTCTTCTCACCAGGTCAGCAGTATTATAATATTATTATATTATTATTCGTATTTCACGCACTCAAAGCCATCACACTCTTCTCCCCAGGTCAGACAGTGAGCCATATATTATTATTATTATTATTATTATTATTATTATTATTATTATTATTTCACGCACTCAAGGCAATCGCTCTCTTCTCACCAGGTCAGCAGTATTATAATATTATTATATTATTATTTGTATTTCACGCACTCAAAGCCATCACACTCTTCTCCCCAGGTCAGACAGTGAGCCATTATTATTATTATTATTATTATTATTATTATTATTATTATTATTATTATTATTATTTTACGCATCTCAGAAGTGAGCCCCACCAGGGCAGACAGTGAGCCATTATTCTTACTCTTATTATTATTGAAGAGGAAAAACCAGCTCTGGTCCAAAAGAGCACTTCTCAGCATGTATCTTTTACTACTTTGAACTTGCTAAATTGGAAGTCTAATTACCCCCCCCCCCCCAAATACTGAAAATCCACATCTATTTGGGGGCTCGTCCAGGATATGGGTGTTTACCTGATGTAATGATTAATGCAAGTTGGAGTTCACTGTACATGTCTAAGGATGACATTAGTCAGTAAAATTTCATTGTTCATCAGCTATCTCTGCATGCTTTTAAGTTGCTATAAGTAGAAGTCCACCCCAGTAGAGGGTGCACATGAGGTGACTCAACATGAGGTGACACTGTCACCACTATTTTCCAAGTAGTAAAGTGCTGAAATCCAAATCTGCTGTTCATCCCTTCCTTCGGCTGCACCCAGACAAACTCGGCAGGCATATTTCCCCAGCATATTATTATTATTATTATTGTTATTATTATTATTATTATTATTATTATTATTATTATTATATTCTTATTTCACGCATTCAAGGCCATCGCCCTCTTCTCACCAGGTCAGTCAGTCAGTGAGCCATCATAGTCATAATCATCATCATTATTATTCTTATGGTGAGACCTGAAAGCAGGAAGGCATTATTCTTATTATATATATATAATATTCTTCTTTTGCACCCTCAAAGCCATCGCACTCTTCTCACCATGTCAGTCATTGAGGAAGACAGGCATTATACTTATTATTATTACATTATTATTATTTATTCTATTTTATTCTTACTGTTATTATTTTATTATAATTTTATACTATATTTTAATATATTTTATTATTAAAATGTATTATTTTATTATTATATGTTATGTATTCTTATTGATATATTTTGTTCTGTTTTATATTATTATTTTCTGTTACATTATTCTATTATATAATTCTATTTATTATTATATTTTATTATTTCATTGTTATATATATTACTAATTATTATATTTCTTATTAGATGTTGTGATATTGTTTTATATGTTATGTATTGCTATTAGTAATTAGTAATTAGTAAAAGGTTTTCCGGAGCTATTTTGCAGACAAGATCTCGCTTCTCCGCCGGGATCTCCCTGCCACAATTGATACAGTAAGTGAACTTTAGACTCCGTGGCCACTCGCTGGGCCCATCCTTGACCGGTTCACCCCGCTGGATGCAGAGGCTGTCGATAGGATCATGACTGCAACTAGGCCGAACACCTGCTCCCTTGATCCGTGTCCCTCCTGGCTAGTAAAATCTTGCCTGGAGGGATTACGTGAACCTCTGTTGAATATAATAAATAGCTCCCTTGAGCAAGGAGTTTTTCCAGAGGGTTTAAAAGAGGCGATGGTATCTCCGCTGCTGAAAAAACCAGACTTAGATCGTTCGGTTCCCTCTAGCTACTGCCCAGTCTCGAACCTTCTGTTTCTGGGCAAAGTGGTTGAGAGGGCAGCAGCGGAACAGTTGCAGCAGTTCCTAAATGACACAGCCGGGCTTGATCCCTTCCAGTCCGGCGTCCATAGGGGGCACGGGACGGAGACTGTGCTAGTTGCCATCACAGATCAGCTTCGCTGCCAGATGGATCAAGGCGGATCAGCGCTGCTTGTGTTATTGGACCTCACAGCAGCATTTGATACGGTCGATCACAATCTATTGACCCACCGCCTAGCCATGACTAGGGTTAGGGGGATACCCCTTAAATGGGTGTCCTCCTTCCTCCAGAATCGGGGATAGCGTGTGGTGAGGGGAGGGATGGTTTCCGAGAGATCTCCGCTAACTTGCGGGGTCCCGCAGGGAGCTATTCTCTCTCCTCTATTATTTAACATCTATATGCGACCGCTTGCTCGACTGGTGTGGAGCTTTGGGCTTGAGTGCCACCAGTACGCTGATGACACTCAGCTCATTCTGAGGATGGAGGGCCGGCCGGACTCTGTACCCAAAAATTTCCATCAGTGCCTTGAGGCCGTTACTGGATGGTTGCGTGCCAGCAGGTTGAGGGTGAACCCAGCGAAGACGGAGATCCTTTGGCTAGGCCGTCCGAGTGGGAGGGAGATCCAGCTGCCTACCCTGGATGGCGAGACACTACGTCCGTCACCTTCTGTAAAAAGCCTTGGTGTCTTATTGGACCCTCTGCTCACAATGGAGGCCCAGGTCTCTGCTGTGAGCAGATCTGCGTTTTTCCATCTACGTCAGGCTAGGCGACTGGCTCCCTTCCTACCTAGGAACGACCTGGCTACGGTGATCCAGGCGACGGTCATCTCGAGGCTTGACTACTGTAACGCCCACTACATTGGCCTTCCTTTGTCAGTGATCCGGAAACTGAAGCTGGTGCAAAATGCGGCGGCTCGTCTTCTCGCCGGGGTGCCGGCGAGGTGTCGTATCACCCCATTTCTACAACAGCTGCACTGGCTTCCGATTGAGTACCAGATTACTTTCAAGGTGCTGGTACTAACATTTAAGGCCTTATATGGTCTGGGGCCGGCGTACCTGAGGGCCCGCTTATCCCCCTACCAACCCCAGAGATTACTTCAGTCCGAGGACCAAAATTTTCTTGAAGTCCCCAACATCCGGACTTATCATCTGTCCTCTACTAGGCAGAGAGCCTTCTCGATTGTGGCCCCATATTTATGAAATGCCTTGCCAGTCGAAACCCAAACCATCCGAGAGCTACTTGCTTTTCGGAAAGCCTGCAAGACCTTTCTTTTCCGACAAGCTTTCGATGGGTGAATAACTCGGGACTATGTCGGTTCTCGTTTTATTGTATTTTAAAGTTGGTTGTATTGTTTTAATCTACTGCTGTAAACCGCTCCGAGCCAAATTGGGAGTGGCGGTATACAAGTCAAATAAATAAATATATTTAATATTTTATAATTATACTATTTTATTAAATTTTATTATATTATTTTATCTTATATATATATTAGTAGTAGTAAAATATTATATATTATATTTTGTAATTATTGTATTATGGTGTTATAATATTACTTTATTGTTTTCTATTATCCATGTTATTAGTGGGCAAGGGCAAGTGTGTGTGTGTCTCCCTGCGCATCCTGACGGAGTCACTGTCCCCTTTGTTATAGGCGTCTGTTTTCTATTAGTAGTAGTAGTAGTCATATCTTATATATTATGTTCTATCCCTTCCCCCTTGCAGACGCGTGTGGGCTGTCGGACTCCTCGCAGGTGGAGGCACTGCAGGAGAAGGCGCAGGTGGCACTGGCAGAATACCTACGCATGCAGTGCCCCTCGCAGCCCCAGCGCTTTGGCCGCCTGCTGCTGCGCCTGCCCGCCCTACGCGCTGTCCCAGCCGCCCTCATCTCGCAGCTCTTCTTCATGCGCCTGGTGGGCAAGACCCCCATCGAGACCCTCATCCGGGACATGCTTCTCTCCGGAAGCACCTTCAACTGGCCCTATGGCCCCACCGGTGGGCAGTGACAAACCCTCCTTGCCTTCTGGATCCATTGGCAGGAGTCGCCTTGGAGCGGACTACAACTCCCACCATCCTGCAATTGCACCCACCATCTGCACCAGTCCATAAAGGTGGTTTGGTCCAAAACCACCCCTGGTAGGACTCTGTGGATTGTGATGGACTGCAACTCCTGTCTTCCGGGGTGACTACAACTCCCAGCATCCTGATGTTGCAGTGCTCTCTGTGGGAAACACACACACGCATGCACGTCCCCTTGCCCTTGTCTCTGTCACGCAACGCCCATCTGGATCCATTGGTGGTAGTTGCACTGGGATGGACTACAACTCCCAGCATCCTGCCATTACACCCCCGAAATGCACCAGTTATTAAAGGCTTTGGTTTGATCTATCATTGGTGGGCGTCATAGTGCTCTCGATCTGGAATATGGGTAGACTGCAACTCCCATCATCCAGGGCGACTACACCTCCTGCCATTGCACCCACAATCTGCACCAGTCTTTAAAGGTGGTTTGCGCCAAATCCATCATTGGTAGGATTCACAATGGCTCTCTTTCTGGAAGGGGATGGGCTGCAACACCAGCGTCACTACAAGATCCAGGCTCCGGTGACTACAGCTCCCAAGATCATATTTCACCCCAAAACCCTCCATTACTGTTTGTTGGTCCTGATGGGTCTGTGTGCCAAGTTTGGGTTGATTCCATCATTGGCGGGAGTCACTAGGCTGTTTCAATTGGGGTGGATGACAATTCCCATCATCCCCCACCACAGCCACCCCCAAACCCAGCCAGTGTTTACAATTGGTCCTGACGGGTCCGTGTGCCAAGTTGGGTCCCGATCTGTCGCCTGTTGGAAGAAATCCCATTGAGTACCTGCTTTGAGAAAAGGGGCCCAAGGGACGGTTTGAAAAGAAACTCGGTACCAAAGATGTTTGGAGCGGAGGGAAGAACCCCCCCCTCAAGAAAAAGGAACTTCTAAGGGGAAATACTCACCCTCCCACAAGGAAGAGGAGTTGCTGTGTCTGGGAGGGAGGGAGGGAGTTCCCCTTCCTTCCCCTCTTGGAGTCTCACCTACTTTGAATGTCTGTATGTTTCCCATCCCCCCCCGAAAATCAAACCTGTTGTTTTGTTCTTTTGCCCCCCCAAAGAACTTTGAATGCAATTTTCCTGCTTCTTGGCAGGGGGTTGGACTGGATGGCCCATGAGGTCTCTTCCAACGCTATGATTCTATGAAATGATGTCTGTGAGGCCGCTGCTATACAAAGGCCTGATTGCCGGCAGGCTCAAAACTTTCAAGGCTCAAAACTCATCTATGCAAACACCCACCATCGCTTCTTTCTTTCTTCCTTTCCTTTCCTTTCCTTTCCTTTCCTCCCTCCTTCTTTCCCTGCTTCCTTCTTTGCTTCCTTTCCCCCCTCCTTCTTTTCATCATTCCTCCCTTCCTTCTTCTTTTCTTTCTTTCCCTTTATTATTCTTCCTCTGTATGTTCCCTTCTCTTCTCCTTCCCTCCTTTCCTTCCCTCCTTTCTTCTTGTCAGTTCCCCTCTTCCTTTCCCTTCTCCTCCTTCCCTCCTTTTCTTCCTTTTCTCTTCCTCTCTCTTTCTCTGATTTCTTCTTCACTCTTTTCCTTCCTTTCCCATTATTATCCTTTCTTCGTTCTGTTCCCTTCTCGTCCCTCCTTTCCATCATCCCTTTCCCTGATTCCTTCCTTCCTCTCTTCCCCCGTCCCGTCTTCTTTCAAATGTGATTTGTTCCCATCTCCTCTCTTTTCTTCTCCTCCCTTCTTTTCTTCTTTCCTTTCTTTATTCTTGCCTTTCCTCTTCCTTTCCTTCCTTCCTTTCCCTCCCTTTTCCATGATTCCTTCCTCCTTCCTTCTGTTCTTTTCCCTTCTCTCTCTCTCCCTCTTTCCCTGATTCCTTCCTTCCTCCCTTCCCCCGTCCCGTCTTATTTCAAATGTGATTTGTTCCCATCTCCTCTCTGTTCTTCTCCTCCCTTCCTTTCTTCTTTCCTTTCATTATTCTTGCCTTTCCTCTTCCTTTCCTTCCTTCCCCTCCCTTTTCCATGATTCCTTCCTCCTTTCTTCTGTTCTTTTCCCTTCTCTCTCTCTCTCCCTCTTTCCCTGATTCCTTCCTTCCTCTCTTCCTCCGTCCCTTCTTATTTCAAATGTGATTTGTTCCCATCTCCTCTCTGTTCTTCTCCTCCCTCCCTTTCTTCTTTCCTTTCATTATTCTTGCCTTTCCTCTTCCTTCCCTTCCCTCCCTTTTCCATGATTTCTTCCTCCTTCCTTCTGTTCTTTTCCCTTCTCTCTCCCCCCCTCTTTCCCTGATTCCTTCTTTCCTCTCTTCCCCGTCCCTTCTTCTTTCAAATGTGATTTGTTCCCATCTCCTCTCTTTTCTTCTCCTCCCTTCTTTTCTTCTTTCCTTTCTTTATTCTTGCCTTTCCTCTTCCCTTCCTTCCTTCCTTCCTTCCTTCCTTCCTTCCTTCCCCTCCTTCCCCTCCTTCCCCTCCCTTTTCCATGATTCCTTCCTCCTTCCTTCTGTTCTTTTCCCTTCTCTCTCTCTCTCCCACTTTCCCTGATTCCTTCCTTCCTTTCTGTCTCTAAGTCACTCTTTCATTTCCCTTCTTCTTCTTAATGTGATTCGTTCCCATCTTTCGGTGCACTCTCAAAGGCCTAGAAAGCCCCAAATGTTTCACTTGTCCTTCCTTTCCTTCCGTTTCTTTCCTTTCCATTACTTCCTTCCATCTCTTTTCTTCCCCTTTCTCTTTTCCTTTTGTTCCTTTCTTCTCTCCTCTCTTCTTCCTTTCCTTCCTTCTCATTCTTTCCGTTTTCTTCCCTTCCTTCCCTTCCTTTCGCTTTCTCTGCTCAGCAAAAGAGACCTGAAGGAGGACCAGAAAAGGGCCGCTGATTGTGAATTGTCTTAATTTGTTTGCAACTATTTCTGTTTCCGGTTTCCCTCTTTTGTTCTGATTGATGCTCAACCAATGAATCAATAAAAATAATTCTTCTTTCTTATCATTTTTTTCTTATTACTAAAATGGCTCTTGGGCTTCCCCTGCTTTGGAGGCTTAGCAACAGAGATTGGACTGCATAATAATAAGAAGAAGGAGAAGGAGAAGAAGGTGGCAGCATAGTGATCTTGGGTTGCTGTGAGTCTTCGGGCTATCTGGCCATGTTCCAGCAGATTCTCTTCTGACATTTTGCCCACATCTATAGCAGGCATCCTCAGAGGTTGTGAGGTATATTGGAAACTCGGCAAGGAAGGTTTATATATCTGTGGAACGATGCCCAGGGTGGGAGAAAGAAAAAACTCTCGTCTGTTGCAATTAATCACTTTGATTAGCATTGCAAAGCCTTGCAGCTTCAAGGCCTGGTTGCTTCCTGTCTGGGGGAAATCCTTCGTTGGGAGGTGTTAGCTGACCCTAATTATATCCTGTCTGGAATTCCCCTGTTTTTTGAGTATTACTCTTCATTTACTGTCCTGATTTTAAACATTTTTAAATACTGGTAGCCGGATTGTGTTCATTTTCATGGTTTCCTCCTTTCTGTTGAAATTGTCCACATGCTTTGCAATGCTAGTCAAGGTGATTAATTGCAATATTCCCAGTTGCCTCCAACAGACAAGAGTTCTTTCTTTCTCCCACCTTGGACACCATTCCACAGGAATATATATAAACCCGAGTTGCCTAGATTCCAACAAACCTCACAACCTCTGAGGATGTCTGCCATAGATGTGGGCCAAACGTCAGGAGAGAATGCTGCTGGAACATGGCCAGGCAGCCCGGAAAACTCACAGCAACCCATGGATCCCCCCCCCCCCGGTACAGTGGGTTAAACCCTTGTGCTGGCAGGACTGGAGATTGATAGGTCGGCGGTTCGAATCCAGGGAGAGCACATATGAGCTCCCTTTGTCAGCTCCAGCTCCCCATGCAGGGACATGAGAGAAGCCTCTCACAAGGATGGGAAAACATGAAAGACCTTTAGGGCATCTCCTGGGCAACGTCCCTGCAGATGGTCAATTATCTCACACCAGAAGAGACTTGCCGTTTCTCAAGTCACTCTTGACACAAAATGTAATAATGCTTCCAATTGGGAAGATAATCCTGAATGTGCCTTCCTGTAATATCCCATGCCACCACAGGATGGCACCCCTGAGCTGTTGAAACCAATAGAACAATGATGGGCAACCTTTTGAGTTTGGTGTGTCAATACTAGCCAAAAAACCGAGCATAACTGGAGTGGGGTGTCACTTCGAGAAAAACCCATAATTTCATGATATTTATAGTTTAATAACAAAAAAATATTATTGTAATATATAACTGTATTTAATAAACCAAAAAGTAATTATTTAAGTTACCTGCTTTTTCTATAATGCCATATATCTCGGCATTATAGAAAAATGCTGGTGTAGGAGCCGAGGATGAAATGTCCTTCTTGGGATGCGGCCCCATCTTCTCTGTATGCGGCCGCATGCGGCTGTGTGTCATCGAAAATGGCTACGCGTGTCAGTGCTGACACACGTGTCATAGGTTCGCCATCATGGCAATAGAAAGTGGTGGGGAAAATGGGCGACCTATGAAATGGGAGATAAAAGAGGAGAGAGTAAAGAGGAAGAGCAAGAAAAAGAAGGGACAGGGAGAAAGAAAATGGAGGGAGAAAAGAAGGGCTGAAAGAAATTGAAACAGAAAGAGACAAGGGAGAAGGAAGAGGAAGGAAGGAAAGAATAAGAAGGAAGGAAGGAAGGAAGGAAGGAAGGAAGGAAAGAATGAGAAAGAATAAAGAAGAAGAAAAAGAAGGGAAAGGGAGAAAAAGTACAAAAAGGAAGGGAAGGAAAGAGGGAGAAATAAAGGAGAGAAAAAAGAGATAGAAGGGGAGAGAGTAAAGAAGGAGGGAAAGAAAGGAGGCAAAAAGAAGGAATGAAAAATTGAGACAGATGAGAAATAGGAAGGAAAGGAAGGAGAGATGAAAGGAAGGAAAGGAAAGGAAAGCAAGAAATCAGAAGGGAGAGAAGGAAAGACGGAATGAGAAACAGACGGAGAGAGAGAAAGGGAAGGAAGGAAGGGATAAAAGGAAGTACGAAGAAGGAAAGGGAGGAGGGAGGAATGGTAGAAGAGAGGAAATAATGAGAAAGAAAGAAAAGGTGGGGAGAAAGAGGGTACAGACATCTGACATGAAAGAGCGATACAGTATTTACAATGCAGAACATTTAAGTGAAACTTCCCAGTCTTTCAATGGGAAGCGTGGGCCTGCTTTGGACTGGTGGCAGAGTCATTAGTTGCTGTTGTGGTTGTAGCTGCTGCTGCTGTTGCTGCCTTCAAGGCCTTTCCTACTGCAGCATTACAGCACAGGGTCACCTTCAGCTTCTGATGCATTTCCTAAGGCTATTTCCAACTGTCCCTCATCCATCCATTCTCTTATATTAGTTTACTATGGATGCAGCAGCCTAGGATCGCATTTGCCTTTTTTGCCACAGCATCACCTTGGCTCATGGCAGAAATAGGGCACTAAAGTAATATACATTTAAAGCAATATTATAATGATATTTAAAGTGACGTAATATCTTGAAAGTGCCTGTCGTCAGCCAAACCTTTGCACTCAAGAATCAGTCGTGCCAGAAGTGCTGCTCGCTCTGCATCCAACACCTTTGTTTTTATTTGACTTGAGTTGCTTGAAAGCCATGGGTTGAAGCCAAGAAACGAGTGATGCACGAAGAGCCAACAGGAAGCAGCGGGGCCGAAAGAAGCTAGAAGCCCAGCTTAAAGTGGCATCCGCTCCACTTTGAAGTCTGAACTGCAAGCCTCCGAAACAGAACCAAGGCCTCGGAGGAAGCATGCCTACAGAACAACAACTCTCTCTCTCTCTCTCAATCTCTCTCTCTCTCTATATATATATATACCATATATACTCGAGTATAAGCTGACCTGAATATAAGCCGAGGCACCTAATTTTATCACAAAAAACTGGGAAAACTTATTGACTTGAGTATAAGCCAAGGGTGGAAAATGCAGCAGCTACGCGTCAATGTATTGTTGAAGGCTTTCATGGCCGGGATCACTGGGTTGTTGTAGGTTTTTCCAGGCTATATGGCCATGTTCTGGAGGCAATTTTTCTCCTGACGTTTCGCCTGCATCTATGGCAAGCATCCTCAGAGGTAGTGAGGTCTGTTGAAAGTAGGAAAAATGGGTTTATATATCTGTGGAATGACCAGGGTAATGTTTCAGCGGATCACCTTGATTTGCATTCAATGGCCTGGAAGCGCCTGGGGGGAATCTCTTGTTGAGAGTGAATTGATGTGCCTGCAAACTACTCCAACCAGAGAAGTCAGCCATAGCAGAGCACCTGATGAACCAACCTGGACACAGCATATTATTTGAGAACACAGAAATGCTGGACCACTCTCACAACCACCATGTCAGACTACACAGAGAAGCCATTGAAATCCACAAGCATGTGGACAATTTCAACAGAAAGGAGGAAACCATGAAAATGAACAAAATCTGGCTAACAGTATTAAAAAACTCAAAAATTACAACAGCAAAACAACAGAGAGTAAACAATCAGGCACATCAATTCACTCTCAACAAGAGATTCCCCCCAGGCGCTTCCAGGCCATTGAATGCAAATCAAGGTGATCAGCTGAAACATTACCTTGGTCATTCCACAGATATATAAACCCATTTTTCCTACTTCCAACAGACCTCACTACCTCTGAGGATGCTTGCCATAGATGCAGGCGAAACGTCAGGAGAAAAATTGCCTCCAGAACATGGCCATATAGCCCGGAAAAACCTACAACAACCCAGCTACGGGTCAATTTCAAAATAAAAATAGAAACCAGTAAAAGTACATCAATTGAGGCATCAGTAGGTTAAATGTTTTTATTTGATAATTTATTTGTTTATTTATTATTTAAACTTATATGCCGCCACTCCCCTGGGGCTCGGAGTGGCTTACAAGAATAGCTAAAATCTAACAAAATTTAAAAGCAATTTAAAACAATTTAAAAACAACAGTATCAAACATTAAAAGCCTGTCGAAACAGGTATGTCTTACATGCCCTGAAAGAGAGAATAGTGATAGAAGCCATGATGGCGATGGCGAACCTATGACACGTGTGTCAGCACTGACACGCGTAGCCATTTTCGATGACACACAGCCGCATGCTGTGAAGGACATTTCATCCTCGGCTCCTACACCAGCATTTTTCTATAATGCCGAGATATATGGCATTATAGAAAAAGCAGGTAACTTAAATAATTAGTTTTTGGTTTATTAAATACAGTTATATATTACAATAATATATTTTTGTTATTAAACTATAAATATCATGAAATTATGGGTTTTTCTCGAAGTGACACCCCACTCGAGTTATGCTCGGTTTTTTGGCGAGTATTGACACACCAAACTCAAAAGGTTGCCCATCATTGAGATAGATGATAGATAGATAGATGATAGATAGATAGATAGATAGATAGATAGATAGATAGATAGATAGATAGATAGATAGATAGATAGATAGATAGATATCATTGTGACAGTAGCAATAGATAGATCATAGTGATAGATGGATAGATAGAAAGTAAATAGATGAGTACATACATAATAGTGATGGATGGCAATAGACAATATAGATAATCGTAATAAATGGATATAGATGGAGAGCTAATAGTGGTAGATGGACAGCGAGATGGCAATAGATAGATAGATAGACAGAGATAATAGTGATAAGTGGATGAATAGAAAGTAGATAGATGAGTAGATACATAATTATTTATTTATTTATTATTTGAACTTATATGCCACCACTCCCCTGGGGCTCGGAGCAGCTTACAAGAATGGCTAAAATCTAACACAGGTAAAAACAATTTAAAAACAACAATATCACAAATCAAAGGCTTGTCGAAACAGGTATGTCTTACATGCCCTGCGGAAAGCTGGTAAGTCCCCGCAAGGCACGGACTTCAGGTGGCAGAGTGTTCCAGAGTGATGGTGCCACTGCTGTAAAGGCTCTGCAT